TTGTCAGCATTAGACTAGATATTCAGCAGAAAATGGATAGCTTTCAGACACGAATCGTAAATTTTCAGCAATAGAAAGTATAATTTCAGCACCTAAATGGTGCATAATTTTGAAAAATAAACTTAGGAATATTTATAAAAATCGAATTTGTTTTATAATTTTTTTGGTACAACTTGAATATTGCGTTGACAAGACAAAAAAAGAATTCTATATTAATGTTATAGAAACCAAAATTTGAATTAGTAGAAATCATCCAAATCGTCGACTTCGTGCTCATCCGCGTAATAGTGAACGTTGGCTGTGACGGTGCCGATGACGGTTGGGACGACATTTGACGAGTCGATCGACGATGTGGGGGCTTAGTCGTTGGTGGTGTCTCGATTAAGGGAGGTGGTGGTCCTTGGTACTCGTGTAGACGGCCCACACGCTAGAGGTAGTCGTACCTGTTACGGTACGACTTCTTTCGCTTCGCCACCTCCTTCCGCTGTTTCACAAATTGCGCCCCACAGGCGTTCACCTTGTCCTGGTGGCGCTTCATGTTCCCGTGCGTGGCGAAGCACTTCTTGCACTTCGGACACTTCTTGGAGCGCCGGACCATCTTGGGAAATCAACAGAGTAACGTCGTGAAATGGAGGATTTTTGGGGGGCTGAAAGATCATGTAGAGTTGGGGACAGCGAGGCCAGTTGCAAAAATGTTTTTGAACAACGCACTGAAGGAGAAACGGAAAGGAGCAGCATTGAAGCCCTCACTAATAAATTCCTTCAATTGTCGCGACATACGAATATTAAACCCACCGCCTTTCACTACGTTTTCGGTGAAAGGCCTATGGTTGCTTTGATGAAGGAGAAAACACAAACGAACTCGAAGTAAAAACAAATTGTGTTGTGTTTTTTTTTTTTACCGATATCTAAAGGTTCAATGACCACGCTGCTTGAAGAGGTAAATGCCGAAATACAAGAAAGCAAAGGAATACTAAAGCTGCGAGAGTTCCAACTGCAGCAGTCTCTCTGTCTCTGCAAGAGCAGCGGCCTCCGGCTTGAAATATCTAAGATATTCAAGAGTCAACTCCTCGGTAATAATCAGCTCAGACATAGTGGTGACTCTGGTCACCGCCACGTAAAATGACGACTTCTGTGGTGATTTTCTGGTAGAATGGCGGAGCGGGGCAAGAATCATTCTTGCACGGTCAGGTCTTGGCATTTTTTGCTTGTCAAAGAAAATGCAGGCACCAGAGGTATTTGCGAAATGATCACAGCAAAACTTCAGTCAGGAAGTTGGAGCTGGATACTGTCCTGTTTCCAGGGACATAATGGCACTACGCAGCCAGGGAGATCTTCAAAGATGGAATTGTCGTGATCTCGCAACCGCATAAATACTATCTCAGGTGGCTCCGAGTGGACTCACCTCACGAAATCTGCGCAATTAATATCTTGAACTACAGCGGTGGGAGAAGGCTGGATCGCAACAATGTAGCCAATTGTACCGTTAGCCAGTTTCAGCGCCAATGAAACGTTTTTGCTGCACTGAACAGGCATTCCAAGTGCGA